TGAAAATTGTTGGGCAGTATTTACTAAAACACACACACACACACACAAACAAACACACACACACACACACAAACACACATAATTGTCTGTGATCCCATTAACTCCAAGGTGCCTACGATTCTATTAATCCCAGGGCTTATGCACAGAAAGGTGTACACAGGTTTACTACATGCCATGTGTTAAAATGTTCACACTACATGTGATAACTCCAAACTGCAGACTACTCAAGTTTCTGTCAACAGTGGATGGTTAAATACATTCAAGTACCGTCATTCAAGTGAATACTATACAGAGAAAGTGTAATCTACAACTTCGTGCAAACACGAATGACTCTCATAAACACAATGTTGAAAGAAGCCAGACACGGAAGTGTACATATTGTAAGATTCCATGTATATAAAAAATAAAAATAGGCAAAATGAATCTGTGCTGTTAGACAATTACTCTAGCAGTTACCACCAGGCACAAGTGAGAGGAGAGTGACAGGAAGGGAGTGTGAAGGGCATCTGGGTTGCTGGCCAATTTCTTTTTATTAATGGTGGGGATTGTCACAGGGGTGTGGTCAGCGAATACTTATTTAGCTGTGTGCTTGTGGTAGGTGTCCTATTCTGTATGTATATCATATTGCAGTAAGACGTTTAAAAATGTTCATTCCTATGTATAGTCAAAGCATTCAATTTCGTTCAAAGTTAAGACTTTTGCCCTAACTCTAGCTAGGGCTATTACAGTGCACGGGCACTGTTTCTGACCCTCAGGGGATTGGGAAGAATGGGGAGCAAGGAAATGTAAGGAGAACTATTAATAAAAAGCTCTTCACTGACAGGCATGGAGCTGTTAGAGCGAATGCGTTGCTGTTCCTCCCCAGTCTCCTCCATCCAGCGAGGGCTGTGAGTATTGGTTGCTAATGGCTCACAGTTGTCCCCTTTTGGGAGAATTTGCTTTTGGCCAAATGGAAGCCACCTTTTCTGAGTCATGGCCCTTTCTCTCTTTATCTGACCCCCACAACGTTCTCCCCCACCACTTCCTCGCCTTCCCCCACATTGCACTCAGCAGCCAATGACCGACTGACGGGCGTAAAAGCCTGGCCCCATCCCTCCAGGACAGACCAGAGCTTGCTGTGGGACAAGTCAGGAGCCCTAACAGAGACCACATCCTTGTTTTGCGTCTCTCCCTTTTATTCTGCTTTGCCGAGAGCACTCCCTCGGTGAACCACTTCACAAGAATCCCGATTTCAGACAATGCACCCAGGGAGCCCAACCAAAGACAGCTGGCTCTGAGCTCAACAAGCTTGGGAACACTGGCAAGCTGGAGCTTTCTCCTGTGTGTTTTTCTTTTTCTTCCAGTAGGGCTTCTCTGTTCCCTGGTGGTCTTTTACCTTCAGCCCCTTGGATGCCATGATGCTCTCCATTCTAGTAGTCACATATCTTCTCATTAGCCCCTGGAAAGCTCTGCCGACCACCCCGACACCACCACATCTGGCCCTTGAACACACCCTGAGTATGTCATCTTAACAAACTCCAAGGGAGTAGCTGCCTAACACCATCATCGTAAGGGTGAGAGGAGGGCACCGCTCTACATCCATCCTCTAACTGCAGTGGGACGTATCATAAACTCCCACACCATTCCCTGAGGCTTCAACTATGACAACTGAGGGGAGGTACAGACACCCTCCCATGCCATACTCTTTGAGGATTGTGGGGTACTCATAGTGCAGGCTTCTCCAAACAGAGGGTCATGAAATGTTAAATCATTATTGGGTGGCTTTTGAGATATTTCTGTATATGATATTTATTAAATCATGATACTTCAATTAAAACTTCGAACGTAGAATCCTGTTACACTGAAATATTTGAAGAGTGCATTAGAGTCCACCAGAAAGGGTATGTTTCCTCTCATCAGTCCCTGGATTATCCTGCTATTTTCCCTCTGTAGTTTTTTTGCAGGACCCATCAGAGACAGGGAATTATCCACATGGTCTGCGGGTGAAAGAAAATCGGGGTGCTCCTTCTGTAATTTGACAGGACGCCTGTAGGTATGAGAGCCCAGAATACTGTCCTTCCCGTCTATGGTACCTGGTATTCCTTCTCTCCCACCGTGTTACACATTTATCTGATTCAACATGAAGTTCCTGAACCAGGCTCTCTTTCAAGATGCCAGGGAGTTTGTGAGTGTGCCTAATAAACTGGAAAGAGCCCCAGTAATTCTGCCTTCAAGTCCCAGTCTAGCAAAGTTGTTGGTCCTCACTTTCCTCCGCTTCAAATAACGGAGTCATACCTTGTAACTCCCAAGATCTCTTCTATTCTGATATTCTGGCTTTCATTATCTTGAATTTCATTGTTAGATTGAATCGACTGGTCAGCTTAGAAACAATGATTGGCACAGCATCCGTATTCAGAGACAGCGACCATCTGACTGTCTGGTCTTTGTTGAGACAACATGATCGGCAAATCTCAACCCGTGAGTCTTCTTTTAGAGACCTTAAAACAATCTTGAAAAAGAAAATAGCAACAATGTAAGTCGGAGAAGTGGGGCTCCTTTGCAAATAGCAGCGCTGTGGGTTCATACAAACAGATCTGATGCAGCTCCTATTTTAACTGAATCACCCACTTGGCAACTGAACAAAAGTAAGCTGCTTGTTGCTGGCTCATGTCTCTGTCAGAAAAAAAACACTCTCAAAGGCTTCTGAGCCTTTTGCTTTATTAAGAAACTTGATAAATATAGTTCAGTAAGTGTGTGGTCCATCTCAGATTTATAGCCAGCCTTCTAATCTGAGCAGATAGGATCTCAGGGCAGCAAACCATATGTCTTGTTTTTGTTTTAATGAGATGAAACCCTCAAAATGGGAAGCCCATGGTCTCCTGACTCGGTTTCCCAGGTCTGAGTGCCTGCCCTGCTGTAGCTTTGCTGCCCCTCAGGGCCTTCCCCCTCCTGCTCAGCCTGTGGCTGCTTCTGTCCTTCCCAGAGCTACCCAGACTTTTACTCATGTGTGCAACCTTTTCAGAGGCCTGTTGACAGGTTTGAAAATAAAGCAGGCGATGTGAAGAACACGCAAGTCATAGATATATGAAAATCAACCAGTTGGGCTCTACGGAGCGGGATTAGTGAGGATCAGCTGTGCAGCCAGGCTGCTCCTGGGAGGGAGGCCTCCTGCCTGAGGCTGGGGTGCTGGGGCACTCTGCCTTAGCTGTGCAGCTGCAGCTCCGGGCAATCTCTATCTATTCTCAGACACTCCTGAGCTGTCCCAGAATGCCAGGGCACATGGGCTGCCAAGTTGACCAGGTGGGCCTAATAGTTGAGAATGTGGTGTTTGGGGAGGGAACTTTACTGTCCCCACACAGTGAGGGGCAGAGCTTCTGCGGGGGCCAGAGCCCTGGACCTGGGAGCTGAAGTGGGAAGGGGAGAGGGAAGACCCATCAGGGGCAGACAAGCCACAGAAGACACAGTAGCTTTGCACAGCGTCAGATTGTACTTGTAGATATTGGGAGAAAGAGTAAAGTAACTATGATCTGAAAGTGATATTCAGGAACTCTGACATAAACACGAACTGAAAATACTCACATCGTGGAGGCGGGCAGAGCCTCTCCTTCCCTTTCTATTTCACATTGGTGTGCAAAATAATTGTCCTGCTTCCAAAAGTCCGTGAGATGGAGACTTTTACTTCTTTGTGCAAATATGTCAACACTTCTCTGGGAAAAATAAAATAAAAGGTTCCGAGTGTTGGGTATCAGCTCATGCTCTGAAAGTACCCCAATGATATGATAGGAACAGCAAGAGCACCCTGCAGTGACAGATGATTCAAACGGGCACCCACAGGAATCTCATTTTTAAAATATGCTGACCTTTTGTACACCTTGCAGCCTACCCACGACTTGGTGTCCTGACTCTCCATCCCTGTTCCCATGCTGTCGAGCTTGTTCCCTCCAGGTTCAGGATGGCTGTCAGGTCCAGTGTGATCAAGTTCCCTTCTAGAATAGGCACTGGAAATTTAAGAGATTATGGAAAGGAATGAGCTTGAAACCTTTAGAGTTTTCACCAGATAAAAAATCTGCAGACATGTTTTTCTCTATAACCAGATTAAGTGATCACACTGTTATCACTAAACTGCCAGGTTCATCAAAATAGTAATAATTGTCTTAAAGAGCTGATGAAACCAGAATAGTCTGAAAATGAGAAAATGATTCTCCTGGAAAAGAGAAGGCTGAGTGATCTGAGTAGTTACAAAGGAAGCTCCTGTCTTAGAGAGTCTGGGAACTGGGTAGAGACTCTGATGGAATCTACAAAGTGTCACGAGTGAATGCAGACTAACGTGGAGAGGATACTTGAGGGCCTGCCTTTCTCCCATAATATGCTCTATGATTCAGGCAAACTAAGCCACAAGATATTCCTTTAATTATCTTGTACATTCCCTTCTTTGCTCAGATGTTCCCTTTTCCAGGAATAAACGTCCCACAGTACCGTTATCTGCCACAATTTCTTAAGGAATTGCTTTGTGACAATGTACTAAAGGCTCATGCATCACATCAACTCTCTCATTTAGTCCTTGTAACCGCATTATGAGGCAGGTGTTAACATGAGCTCTGTCGTGCAGCTGCAGAAATTATGACGTAAAAGCTTAAATAACTTGCCCAAAGCTAGGCTGGTAATAAGAGGCAGAGCTGGGGTTCCATCTTAGGCAGCCTATTTCTAGAGGATACATCCTTAACATCTAAGTGTGCCAGTACAGAGAGTGCTACTGTTCTAAGACTCCTTAAAGGACCAGCCTGAATTCATGAGACTTTGTTTTGGATAAAGCACTCCCTTGCTGGTGTCCCCACAGTCTAGGCTGGTACCTCAATTCCAGTGTGGCATTCCATGCTGTCCTGAATCAGAGCCGCTTGTGCCCACGTATGCTGCCTTTGTCAGGGTCTGACACTGTTGCATTGTATATTACCTGTGTTGTCTTGCTCAGTGCTTGACAGATGCCCCTACTGATTCAGGTATATGAGCGAGTCAAATAAAAAATAATGTAATAATTTATTAGGCTTCTGCTGTATGCATAAAAGGTTTCATTTTATCCATACAACATTTATTATTCTTATTTTTCAATGAGGAACCAGACTTAGGAAGTTTCATAACTTGCCTGAAGTCACAGAGGTAAAGGGGCAGCATAAAGATTCCGCTGCCAATTTGTCAAATTCCAAAGCTCTTTTATGGCACCACCTCTCCTTCCAAGCATGCGAGAGCAGGGAGGGAATTATGTGTCAGTTGGATGAGAATGGCTTGGTAGAACTTGGAGGTGAGCATCTCATGAACAGGGCTTCTTGGGACCTGTGATTCTGTCTTACATGAGTCACACCAAATTATTAGAAATCAAAGCATCAATTGAGGAAAACCATACCAGTCCCCAGAAAGCTAATTGAGCCCCGTAGCCTCAGAGCAAGTCTAGTCACTGCTCTTGAAACACGCAATTTAGCCATTCCTCCTTCCTCTCTACGGCTGATATCAAACACATGAAACATCATATGTAATTAGAGGCCATGAGCGTTTGTGTCACTTTGCACAATTAAAACTATGTTCTGCTATTCCTGGGAAACATATTTTTAGTTTAAGCTGGGCTGTAATGAGATCTCTAAAAATAACACCGTGAAAGGTGAGGCTAAGTGTAGGGATTGAGTTCACCCCAGTGCCAAGGCTATAAAACATTATTCATGGTCCATTTAAAGCTCTTGAGCCCTGGGCCAACTTTTTTGCTTGGACAGACGTTTCGTTCATCCTATTTGGACCCAACTCACTTTCCAACTAAATGGCAGTGGTCTGAGTGAGAGGGACTTAGACTAGGCCATTAGAGGAATTTTACAGCTGCTGAGGCAGCTCAGGGCACTTTCTCTCTGAGGGGCTCTGGTTACACTCGCCAAGGGGCTTGGATATCGAGTGTTGAGACCACCCCACGGCTCGCCAGCTTGCTGCCTTCCGGCATGATGGCTCTTCTCAGAATCAAGCTCCCTAGGTTTTGGCAAGCCCTATTGCTACAGAAATAACGAATGATCTCCTGGCTTGGCAGTGGGAGGGTTCAGGCATGCCTGTAACCTCAGACACCGAATACGGCACCCAATAGCGTGCGAAAATGGTGATACAAGGCTCGTAACAGATGGGAGAAACTTCAAGATTTCAACAATTTGGGGCTTTAGAGGGGATATAGTTTTCCTGGACAGAACAGTGCTGTGTTACGTGCACCACCCACAGTAGTTTAAACACGAAAACTCTCACAGCACGTGGAACACATCTGCGTGTGTGCCCATTGCCAGCTCTGCTGCTCCTTTACTTAAGGTAGACCTGACATCAGCAGCAGATGGTCATTATCAGGTTTCTTATCTCATCCTTGTTGCCCCGAAACATAATTTCTCCCATCCTTCAGGCTGTGCTAATGAGGTTGATGTTACAGGCTGGACTTTGTGGATAATCTGGTGGACTTCACTGTCTTTCCTGGTCATAAATGCTGTTTTCGTGCTTGTTCTTCTGTTTCATCTGTTTATTGACATTCAGCCTCCACCAAACACAGGTTTCAGGTGAGGTCATAGACTCCATTCTTTTCACTGGTTTTCTTTCTTTCTTTCTCTTTCCTTCCTTCCTTCCTTTTCTTTTCTTTCTTTCTCTATCTCTTCTCTTTCTCTCTCTCTTTCCTACTTTTCTTCTCTCTTTCTCTCTCCTTTCTTTACCTTTTGCTTATTTTTGAAACAGGGTCTCTCTCTTTCACCCACACTGGAGTACAGTGGTGCAAACATGGCTCACTGTAGCGTCGACCTCCTGGGCTCAAGCAATCCTCCTATCTCAGTCTCCTGAGTAGCTAGGACTGCAGGTGCATGCCACTATGCCTTGCTAATGTTTGTCTTTGTTGTTGTTGTTTTGCCATGTTACCCAGGCTAGTCTTGAACTCCTAGGCTCAAGGAATCCACCCACCTTGGCCTCCCAAAGTGTTGGCATCACAGGCATGAGCCACTGTGCCTACCCACAAATATCATCTTTCTTTAAGTGTAAACATGGTCCAGTACAAGCTAGTCCACTACAGGGAGAAGTGCCCATAGCCCAGTCTTTGTTGTTGATGCTAGCAGGGTTATTTTGGGGAGGTTAGCAGTGGAGACTGAACTAATCCTAATTCTGTGTATACAGTCTCAGGCCAAAAGAACAATACTGAGGACAGACTCTGTGACCTTCGGCATGTACAGGGCACATGACCACACTTGGCAGGCAAGAACCATTTTAAATTTTTGTTATAACTTGAGTAAATGTAAAAAATTATTATTACTTTGCTATGCTAAGAGAATTGGATAGTGCTTCTTGGGGCTCAAGTGAACAACCATATATTAGTAAATGTGTGACTATTTGCTTAATCCTTCATTCCTAGGCTGAAATAGACTGTCTTCCCTTCCCTACCTAGTTAGAGAAATCATTCCCTATTCACCGAATCCTTGGCTTTTTTTTGTTGAGACGGAGTTTTGCTCTTGTTACCCAGGCTGGAGTGCAATGGCACGATCTCGGCTCACCGCAGCCTCCACCTCCTGGGTTCAGGCAATTCTCCTGCCTCAGCCTCCTGAGTAGCTGGGATTACAGACACGCGCCACCATGCCCAGCTAGTTTTTTGTATTTTTAGTAGAGACGGGGTTTCACCACGTTGGCCAGGATGGTCTCGATCTCTTGACCTCGTGATCCACGCGCCTCAGCCTCCCGAAGTGCTGGGATTACAGGCTTGAGCCACCGCGCCCGGCCGAATCCTTGGCTTTAAAGGCAGCAGAGCATTTTTAGATTATCAAGTCCATCTTCGCCAGTTTTACAATTGAGATAAACCAGATAGGAGAAATGACTTACTCAACATCTCCGGAGATTCGGTTCAGATTTAGAGTTGCTTAAAGGCACAAGTTAACCTTTCTTGAACCTTCCCTTTCACTTCCTCCTACCTAGACTTTCAGCAGTTTCTCTGCAGGGTTTTCTTTGTACCCCTTTCCTCCCTAGACGCCTCCCTCAGTATGCTGCACTCTCTCAACAGGCCCTTATCTAAAACAGTTATTAGGAAAGGACCAGACAAATGTACTCACGTTCTGGCACAAATGACATATCATAGCTGTTTCCTCATTTGTGTATCTTATGGGGACTATATTGTACTCAAAAGTGTTAAAATCCAGTGACAGAATTCAAGGCAGCCTCAGGCCAATGGGAGGTACTTTGGGGAGGCGGTGACTAAAATTACATCGTGGCTTGGAAATTAGGAGGTCTGACTTAGACCTGTTGAAGAATTGTGGGATGCAAGATCTGGCAGAGGTCAGTAACTCACGCAGTTTGCTAATAGATAAAGAAACTGAAATCCAGGGGAAGGAAGCTGAGTTTTTCCCATGGCAAGCAGCTGGTTAGTTAAGGGCACAGTGGAGATGGGGCTCTAGGATTTACATTAAAAAAACGGGCATGACTTAGCAAAATGATTTACATTTGGCTGTCCATTTATTCATTCTTTTAAGAAATATATTTTTGTATGCCTGCTCTGAGTTCGGCAGGATTTGGCATTAAATCATGAACAAAGAGACACTGGTCGTGTCCTCCTGGGGCTTATAATCGGTGGGGTGGGGACATAGAGGAAGAAGGACACGGTCACCAGAAACAGGTAATTACAAATTGTGATAAGCCCCTGTCTTGCTGAACTCATCACTAACGTTGGCGCGGTTGATCAGTCCTCCCTCCTGAAATGCTTTCCTCATTTAGCTCCTGGCCACCACTCTCGCTTTTGTTTTTCCTCCTACAGAGCAAGCTTTCCTTGTCCTGCTTTTCAGCTGGTTCATTCTTATATCCTTAGCTTCTAAATCTTGGGATACCACAGGAACCCACCCCAGTGTTCTCCCTCGAACTCCTAATTTGTATATCAAGCTGTATACTTGACTTCTCTGCTTGGCTGCCTAATAGATATCTGTTACATAACACCTTCAAAATCACAGTCCTCATTTCCCACTCGCAGCCCCAACCTTCCCCTCCTGCAGCCTGTTCATCTTAGGAAATACAAATGTCCTCTTCCTATGACTCATGTCGAAGCCTCGGAGTTATCTTTGATTCTTTTCTTTCTCTGACACTCTATTTCCAATACATCTCTCTAAGTCCTGTAGCTCTTACCTTCAAAATAGACCCAACTGTTTGTCAACCACTTTATAACCTCTATTGTTCTATTGTTCTGGTCCAAGATGACATCACTTCTCACCAGGAGTATTGGAAAAACGTCCTGATGAATCTTCCTCTATTTGGACCTGCCCAAGTGGCTCCTTCCAAATGTTAGTTGGATTATTTTGCATAAAGCACTCATCTCACTCAGAATAAAGCCCGAGTCCTGAGAGCAGCTGGCAAGACCCTACACGACCCTGACCCCTGCCGTCTGTGTCCACCTCCCACCACTGCCCTCTCTCGCCCTTGTCTTTCTGCTTTTCCTCAACCCTGTGGAGTCGACTTAGGCTCAGGGTCTTCTCACTCACTGCTTCCTCCACAAATGCGCACACAGCTTGTTCCCACTCTCCCTGCAGGTCCCTGTTCATCCGTTATGCTCTCAGTGGGGCCTTTTGAGTCCTGTGAAATGACATTCCACCCGAGAATGCCCATCTCGCCTCGCTTCATTTGCTTTATTTTTCTCTTTAGCACATACCATCATGTGACATTTTCTGTATTTATTGGTTTATTTGTTTCTTCCTTGTCTGCCTTACTCCAAGCTAGAATGTAGACTCCAGGTACGCAGGGATTTTTGTCTGCTCTCTTCTCCTTGTGCCTAGAACAATGCACAGCAAATATTTGTTGGATGAATGAACTGCAGCTGAGATCTGAAAAGTCTCAGTTAAAAGGCTGGTGGGAGCTGTCTGTAAAGAACCATCCCAACAGAAATTACTTTAGGTATAAAGAAAATGAGAAGATAAAGCTGGGCCCTGAGAACTGAAAAAGAAGGAAGACAAATGGCCGGAAATGAAGCAGAATATTTATTATTTATTTTTATTTTTTACAAAATAGGAGAAAAGAGTGAATTGGGTTGGGGGAGGTGACACATTTCTCCAAAAAGGTATAAAATTGCCTATAGAAAGTCAGCTGTGGAATGCCAAGCCCAGGCTGCTGAGATGAGGCATTTCTGGGCGTCCCTCTCCCAGATGTCCTTTGGATCTGGCTGGGGTTACTCCCATGTTGAGGGCTGCCCCCCAAGGTGAGATGGAGAGGCCTCCTTCAGCCCTTGCCCAGGAAGCACAAGAGCAAGTGACTGAGACTGTACAGAGAAAGAGAAGAGGAAAGGGTGCAGCCCAGGGACACATGCAGGGGACAGCCAAGCCAGGCCCAGGAGCCTCTGGGCCGGGAAGAAATGGGGAGGCAGGAGGCTCTAGGCAGAGTCCCTCCTGTTCCTTGGAGATGTTCCTCAGAATGGCAGCAGAGGTGGCAGAGACCTTGGAGCCAGGATGGGGACTTTGGGTTTGAGCGTGGGTGAGAAGGAAGGCATAGACAGGCTTTAAGCAGGTAGTCCTTTTAAAGTGGAGGTTCCCACATGTGCAAAGTCACAGTTCTTGACCTCAAGAAAATCAGTGTCTATGGAGGGAGTCCACACAAACACACAGTCAATGGTGTGAAAGCTCCTGGGTGACCTGGGAATATATCCTTTTCCCTTGAGGGTGAGGAGAGGAGTTGTAAATATTTAATAAAGGTTTTAATATTTTTAAAGACATTATTTAAAAAAACAGTTTTAGGTTCATTGCAAAATTGAGAAGGTATTTCAGAAAATTGCCATATAACCTGCTTCCCCCACACATGTACACTTCCCTGTATCATCAACATCCTCCACCAGAGTGGTGCGTTTGTTTCAACTGATGAAGCTACATGGATTCATCATTATCACCCAACGTCCATAGTTTATATTGGGGTTCACTCCCGGTGTCATACCATTCGATGGCTTTAGACAAGTGTATAATGGCACGTGTCTGCCTTTATAGTATCATACAGAGTAGTTTCACTGTCCCAAAAATTCTCTGTGCTCTGCCTATTCCTCCCCCCCTTCCCTATTGGCCATCACTTATCTTTTAGTGTCCCCATAGTTTTCCCTTTTCCAGATTGTCACATAGTTGGAATCATATAACATATAATCCATTTGGAGTTGGTTTCTTTTATTTAGTCATATGCACTTAAATTTTCTCCATGTCTTTTCATGGCTTGAGAGCTCATTTCTTTTTAGCACTGAATAATATTCCATTTTTCTCTTATATGACAATTTATTTACTTATTCACCTGCAGAAATGGCATCTTGGTTGCTTCCAAGTTTTGTCAGTTATGAATAAAATGGCTATAAACCTCCATGTGCAGGTCCAACTTATGGGTGGGTATAAACTTTCATCTCCTTGCGGTAAACACTAAGGAACATTATTGCTGGATCATAGAGTATGTACTTTTCTAAGAAACTGACAAACTGTCTTCCAAAGTAGCTGTAGAATTTTGCATCCCCACCAGCAGTAAATTGGAGTTCCTGTTGCTCTACATCCTTGTGAGCATTTGGTAGTGTCAGTGTTCTGGATTC